ATTCTGCCAGTGGAACTTACCGTTGGAAATAGAACTCTCATGTGTGCATTCTTTGTGGTTGACACCATTGCCACTTATAATGCATTGCTTGGGAGAGATTGAATACATTCCAGCTGGTGTGTTCCTTCAACTTTGCATAAGAAATTAATATTCTGGAATGGTGGCAGAACTGAAGTCGTGACAGCAGATGACAAGCCGTTCGTGGCAAGTACCAATGCAGTGGAAGCTCATTATTATGATGAAGATATTGGGACTATCTGTTTCTTTGGGATGGACTGCTATGGCAGACCTTCTGGAATTACTGCCTGCACCAAATCTACAATGGACAGACAGACTATGAAGGAGGTGTGTGATGAACTACTTCGACCTACAGCAATCGTTCCTTTTAGGCCGAGGGAAGAACCTGAAATCAAAGAAATTCCATGAAGAAAGATCGAATTAAACACCAGAAAAAGGAGGCCGTGGAAGAAATCAAGAGAAAATTAGCGGCTTACCTTGCTGAAAAACGAATCTGTGTAAACAGATCTGAAGTAGTCTACGAAGGTGAAGAGGAAGATTTGAAGGATCAGATAACACTAGAGGAATTAGATCTAGCACCAACAAAGCTTGATGATCTGAAGGCAGAAGTACAAGATCCCCTGAAAGAGGTAAATCTGGGTACTGAGACAGATTCGAAAATTACTTTTATTAGCGGTTCTCTTGAGCCGTGTTTGCATGATAAAATTATCACTATTTTGCATGAATACAAGGATTGTTTTGCTTGGGACTATTCTGAAATGCCAGGTCTGGACAGAAATCTGGTGGAGCACGAATTACCAATTAGACCAGATTTCAAGCCTTTTAAACAACCGCCTAGACGAATGTCTCCAGAAGTCACCTTAAAAGTTAAAGAAGAGATAGAGCGATTGTTGAAGGTCGGTTTCATCAGGACTTCCAAATATGTGGAATGGTTATCTAATGTGGTTCTTGTGGTTAAAAAGAATGGCAAGCTGAGAATCTATGTGAACTTCAAAAATCTAAATCTGGCAACACCAAAAGATGAATATCCTATGCCTATTGCAGATTTATTGGTGGACGGTGCAGCACGCCACCGTATTCTGTCATTCATGGATGGCCACAGTGGGTACAACCAGATTTTTATAGTAGAAGATGACATTTGAAAGATCGCTTTTCGCTGCCCAGGAGCTATTGGTACGTATGAATGGGTAGTGATGCCATTTGGTTTAAAAAATGTGGGTGCAACTTATCAAAGAGCCATGAACGCCATCTTTCATGACATGATTGGTCATTTTATGGAAATTTATATTGATGATGTGGTCGTAAAATCTAATGAGGATGAAGAACATCTGGAGCATTTAAAGCTGGCTTTTGAAAGAATGAGAAAGCATGGTCTGAAGATGAATCCTTTAAAATGTGCATTTGGCGTTTCTGCTGAAAATTTTCTGGGATATCTGGTGCATGAGCGAGGTCTGGAAGTAGATCAGAACAAGGCAAGAGCTGTTATTAAAGCACAGCCGCCAAGAAGTAAAAAGGAATTACAAAGATTCCTTGGGCAAGTAAATTTTTTGAGACGTTTTATCTCAAATCTGGCAAGAAAAACCAGAGTTTTTTCGCCACTGCTGAAGCTGAAATCAAAAGCAGATTTCAAATGGGAGAAACACCATCAGACCGCCTTTGAGGAAATAAAGCATTATTTATCAAAGCCACCAGTCTTAGTGCCTTCTTTAAGAGGCAAACCTTTGATTTTGTACATATCTGTCACAGATGAATCTGTAGGTTGTCTACTGGCTCAAGAAAATAGTAAAAAGCAAGAACAAGCAGTTTATTATTTGAGTCGAAGTCTGTCACAGACCGAAGTGAAATATTCTTCAGTAAAAAAATTGTGTCTTGCTTTGTTTTTTGCTGCAATAAAATTGAGGCATTATTTGCTTTATTCCGAGGTTTATGTTATTTCGAAAACTGATGTGATAAAGTACATGTTGTCTCGACCACTGTTACGAGGCAGAATTGGGAAATGGGTTCTGGCTTTGTCAGAATTCAACCTGAAGTACATGCCTCAAAAAGCTGTCAAGGGGCAGGCTTTGGCATATTTCCTGGCAGATCATCCGTGCCTGGAGGTAGAAGCAGATGAGGAAAAAGGTATTAATTTATTTTCCATAAATCTGGTTCCTTGGAAGCTTATTTTTGATGGATCTAGCACAGATTCCATGTCCGGAGCAGGAATTATTATTATTTCTCCAACTAGTTTGAAAACCCAACTGTCATTTCAGCTAGATTTCAGTTGCACCAACAACCAAGCTGAATATGAGGCATTAATTATTGGGCTGGAAGTGTTGGTAGAGCTCAAGGTACCTATGGTAGAAATAATTGGTGACTCACAATTAATTTTGAAGCAATTAGAAGGTGAGTACAAATGCACTAGTTTGTCTTTGGCACCTTATTTTGCTCTGGCAGTACAGCTCTTGGAGGAATTTGATGATGTAATCTTGAGGCATGTTACTCGAGATCTGAACACAGAAGCAAATGAGATGGCACAAATCGCCTCGGGCTTAAAAATCCCAGAAGGCGTGATGAGCAGAATTGTTGCTGTGGAAAAACGAATTCTGCCATCTATTCACATGCGTGGTATGGCAATTTCAACTTGTTCCATAGACATAACCCAGACAGATTGGCGATATCCGATCATGGAATACCTCAAAAATCCAAATTTTAAGGCCTCAAGAAGAACAAAAATGCAGGCCTTGAATTATGTTCTATTGAAAGGTGTTCTTTATAAAAGAGGACATGATGAATTACTCCTGCGCTGTCTTGGTCCAGATGAGTACTGCCAGATTATGTCAGATGTGCATAATGGAATCTGTGGTGCACACCAAGCTGGAATTAAGATGAGATGGCTAATTCGGAGACATGGATTCTTTTGGCCATCAATCTTGAAAGATTGCATCAGTTATGCTAAAGGTTGTAAAGCCTGCCAGATTCATGGACCACTGCAAAGAGTTCCAGCGTCAAAACTCCATCCAATTGTCAAACCATGGCCATTTCGAGGGTGGGCCATAGATTTGATTGGTAAAGTTTATCCTCCTTCCACTAGAGGGCATTCTTTTATTATTGTCACCACAGATTACTTTACCAAGTGGGTGGAAGCAAAGCCAATGAAAAAGGTTGACCAGACCGATATTATTAAATTTCTCAAGGAGGAAATCATTCACAGATTCGGTTTGCCAAAAACAGTGACTTCAGATCAGGGGACAGTTTTTGTTGGTGCACAAGTTGAAGCATTTGCAAAAGAAATGGGATTTAGGTTACTCACTTCAACCCCTCATTATGCTCAAGCCAATGGTCAAGCTGAAGCTTCCAACAGAATTGTGATAAATCTGCTGGAAAAAATGGTTGATGATAATCCAAGGTGTTGGCATGAGCTGTTATCTGACACAATCTAGGCTTATAGAACTTCGCAAAAGAGTTCTACCAAGGTAACTCCATTCTCTTTAACTTATGGACATGATGCTGTTCTGCCCATGGAGTTGTCTGCTAGATCATTGCGTGTAGCAATTCAACATGGTCTCACTTTTGGAGAATATAATGAAGCAATGATTCTAGAGTTAGAAGACCTTGAAGGTATGCGATTGACGGCCTTAGATAGGTTGCAAACACAAAAATTAAAAGTGGCTCGAGCATACAACAAACGGGTGAAATCCAGAAGTGTAGCAGAAGGAGATCTGGTATGGAAAGTAATTTTGCCACCTGGAAAGAAAGACCCCAAATTTGGGAAATGGTCTCCAAATTGGGAAGGACCATTTCGTATACATGAAGTGCTTAGAGGAGGAGCATATTGGCTTGAATCATTAAATGGAGAGTTACATCCTCGAAAAATAAATGGAATCTACCTTAAGCCTTACTATCCTATGATATGAGAGGCTAGAGGTTTGGATACCATTAATTCTACCTGAGACAGATTTGAGGTAGGATTTGTACAATATTTTATTTCATTGTTTTAAGCATTTTATCATTCAATAAAAGTGCTGAGCGAAATCTGCGAGTAGGCCGAATTTGGCTGTGAACAACCATAGTGGTCAGATTTCGGCCATGACAGATTTCAACCTGTACCAGAGTATGAACAAAAAGTACAAGAAGCAGATTTCCAGAATATGAGTCAAGAAAGAGATCAACATTGAAAAGAAGTTTGCATGGCCAATAGGCCGCAAACAATATGTTCAAACATGACAATGTGCAATTTCAACCAACAAAGAGACAAGGAGATACATAAGGAAAAAATCAACAAAGGTTGTTTTGCCATGAATTCCATTCTTCTTTCATGTTCTTTATTTCTTCAGCGGCTTCATCTGCAGAGGCTGTGAAAGAAGGTA